AGAAAGAAACTGTCTCTGAACACTGAAATGTGCAATTTCTTTCAGGTGGACATAGCTACGCAGATTTAGTAGGATGTGTGCATGCATATGTTTATGTGTGTTTGTGTGTTTATTGCTTCAGAATTACCTAGAGTTACATCATCCCAAGAGATATATTCAGCCCTGTATGCTCAGATGGAATATGATGTTTGCACATAAAATGATAAGGATTTGTGAGGCACTCAGACAGGAAGGTGAGGTGAGGCAGTTATAAAACTACTATGCTAACACTACATTTGTGCTGGAGTCCTCTGAGGTAGGCTGTTCTATGATAGACTAGTCTGTGTTCTAAAAATGTTTTCCCTGGATTTGTTATTTGAAAATAATTTTAACCAACCATGAAAATTCATTATTTTGATCTGACATTAAGTACATTTTCAATTGTATCCAGATTTTATTGACTAGAAAAAAAAAAAAAACCTGTAATTGCTGTAGTGACTAGGATAAATGAAACATTTCTGAAGTGGTATAAAGACCAGCTAAATTCTTGAAGTGATAGGATTTGGTTTGAAACCAATAAATTAATTTGATATTTTAAAAAAACAGCAAGCATCAGAGAAAAATCTTCATCCAAGGCCTTTGTGCATCCTCAGTCTGTTTTATATCCCATTTTCCTTTTGGCAGCAAACTTGGTGATTCAAGTGAACAGTCATTTGTCAAAAAAAGCAAAGGCTGAAAGGAAAGACCATGATCACCTTTTTATTATTGGCATTAAATATTTATCAGCCCAATTCAGTAACATACATATGTGCTTATGTGATAGAGACAAATGTGCGAGTGTGTGCATGCACATGTATGTGGCTGTTCTGCACATAGAGCGGATAAAATTGGGGCACAGTGTTGATGGGTTAGATACCAGAGTCTGAGGGTGCTAAATATCTGTGGGACTCAACAGCAAGGAGGTTGAAGATGTATGAATCATATCTGGAGTGTTCAGGATCTCTCAGTCTGATACACACTCTCACCATCCCCTCTCAGAATGATCCATAGTGGGCTGAAAGTGGGGTCTGCAACCCATGGCAGATGCATTTGTAAGATGCCCATCAAACCAACATCTTTTGGCTCTTGCTGAGTATCTACTGACATACTTAACTTGTAATTTGAGAAATAAATACATATCCTGATATACCACACTTGTTTTTCTCCACTGTAATATAAAACTGGAAATATGGTGAGACTCTTTGGTATATATCCAGCTAGCAGTCCAAATTTCATCATACCAAAGGAATAAATATCTTTAATACAGTAGATCATGCTTATGTTCATTTGAAGGAAATATACCTAATGCTAGCTCTGTTCAGTTTTTACTCCTTTGTTGGTATTATAGGCAGCTTCTGGAATGAAAGCGGTTTTTCTATATTTATCTATATTTATCTTTTGAAAGCTACCTAAGACTGAGCTCTAGGAAGTGTTAACTTCCCTCCTTTATCAGCTGTGCGTGTTAGTTTCATAGCATTGTCTGCACAATCAGCATCCCAATTACCTTTAAAACCACTGTGAATAAACACATTTCTTCATGATGCAAGGCTTGGAAAATATCCAGTAATTCCTAAGAGCAGGCTGATTCTTCCTATCAGTTCACCAGCAAAAAAAACAACCTGAGAATTCTACAGTCATATATAAGATATTGTAATCACGGTGATCAGTAATCAAAAATGTGTGGTTTGAAGTCAAGCATGTTAACCTGTGTATATTCATTTACTTATGCCCTCCTAACTCAGTCTTGCAAAGATAAATGAGCCCATTTATAAAATGAACAACACATTTAAGTATAGAATTGGGGCTTTGCTTCACATGTGTAAGAATGAAAAGGCTGTCTTTTGGAGTGTTTCCACAAACCGTTTATTTTTAATGCTTCTTTTTTTCGAGGCAAACAGGGATGGATTCTGCAGTACTGACATTCCACATTCTTGTACCCTTTTTATTTAGTTTAAACATATTCTCCAGCCTTCCAGGAATATGCATGTTTGTGCATGTCCCTCCTCCCTGCCTATAAAGACAGGCACCCATCAATACTTCTTTTATGACACCTTAATATTTTTTTCTCAGCATATTTTGAAAATTTTGACAGCACAAATTTGAAAGTGTCTGCTTTCTCATGTGTTCACCTGCTCATCTCCACTTGTTTAACTCCTTATCCCTATATGCCAATAGATATCATCAATAAATCCTCCTGGTTTAATCTCCAAAATGTCTCAGAAATCTCCCTTTTCCTCTTCATTCTCCCCATAAAATCTTTGTCAAGTCCATCCTTCTCCACATCCATGCCTATTTGCGACCTTGCTGTCTTCAGCCTCTAACTGACACTCACATTAACCAGTTTTTAAAGTAGTCTAATGCAAAAGTAATCCACTACTCCCAGTCTTGAGATCTCATTAAGATATTCCTAAATCTCCCTTCTTCACTGTCTCCCTACTGCCTTCTAAATTTGATCGAAGCTCCTTTTATCACTCAGAGTTCTTCCTGACCTAACCTTCCTTCTTCTGTCCTTGTTCTGTTCTTCCACATCTTTGGTCTTTACTTGCTCCCTCCTCACCCATTGTTGGTCACAACGTAAAACACTTGCCAATCAGACCCATGCGCCACCTTTGATGTCATCCACTATACCTGTGAGTGGAGTAGTTCGGCTATATTATCCCAGATGGAAAGTAACCTGGTCTGATTGGCATAGTCCACATGATATGTTTGAAACAGTGACTACTAAAAAACAAGTTATCATGTGCTTTTCTAGCAAAAAGGAAAGGAGGCATTTGTCTTCTTATAGTGAGATTTTGGTTTTTTTCTGAGTCATCCACAATCTCTCCTGTGTCCTTAGCCTTTGAATCAGAAAAGGAATTAAAGTTTTTACTAGAAATTTACTGTCACTGTGATTCATGAAATTGCTCTCCAACCAGTCTATCTGAACAGCCCTTGCAGAAAGTCAATGTCTAGACAAAATTGAAATGTACATCTCTGACTTTTCAAAAATATGTTTCCAGTTCTTAAGACCTGAATTTTAGGTTTCAACTTCTTGCTTTCTCCACTTGCTTAGTATTAAACATCTCTTAGTTTGATCTGGGGGAGTAAAAAGACATAGGGCAATAAGATATAGTTTCTACATTATAGGCTTTCCAAACCCAGCCCTTATTAGTCCGCTGAAATTCAGCAGCAGGATCTGTAAGTTAGTTCAGACAAGCCAAGCTTACAATACAGCGCATGTCAGCACAATGAACAGGACATGCAGATCAAAGCTCCCCTCAGTTCTTCTGACTCTCTTCTTCTGTGTCTCCGTGCATTACATTACAGGAAAACTTAACAAAACAAACTCCTAGTCCCTTCCTCTTTCCCCCTTTAAGTCCTGCCCCCCTCACAAAATCAAACAGGAGAAAAAGAGTCTTCCTACACCTGGACCCTTTGTTCATTATTCTGTGGTTCATTGAAAATTAACATCCGGTTACTGGAGCTTCCTCTCCCTTTGCCAAGGTGCTACAGAAGTACTTTGTGCCAACCAGACACCTACGTGCTATTTCTACATGCCTCACACCTCCCTGGCCTGAATAGGGTTTAATCCGTTGAATTCCAGCCAGCAGCAATCATGAAGCTGGAAAATGATGGTGAACAAATAGTTCCTAACAAGTTTAGAAAAAAAGGTGCCACATCCCCAGATAATTCCTAAGAGCAGGCTGATGCCTTCCCATCAGTTCCCTACCAAAGTTCCAACTTCAAAACTTTCCAGTCAGACATGAGATATTTTGTCACAATGACATTCCACAGCCTCATGTCCATTTTATTTAGTTTAGAGATATTCTCCGTTCTTCCCACAGCATATCTGTTTGTGCATGTCCCTGTCTTTCCATCTATAAAGACAGGCATACATCAATGCTTCAGTTTTACAATGCTTCGATATGTGAGTCGTCATCTCCAGGAATCTGGGAAATGACAGTATGCACATCATCCATAACAAGATTAGAGAAAATATTGCCATGTCCATGCATAATATAAGTACATGCTGAAGTCTGATCGATTAGGATGCTATAATAAGGATAGAACTGCTCTCACATTTAATACAAAGACATGCCAAACGCTTTACCAAATTGGCTATATTGAATATGTCCTATTATACAACACCCTGTTTCAGTCTCACGAACCCATATAAACTTCGGCTCCTTCAGCTCCTGAGATTCCCGGCCATACAATTGCCTTCCTGCCTCTTTCCTCCCTGCCTATACGTCTTTGTTTTCCTCACAAAGCAGAGTTCAGTGGATTTCCTGTACCTCCTCACAGGCCATTACCCTTAAAGCAACATTGCTTGGCTGCAGTAAGGATCTATCTCAAAACCGAAGAAAGCAGTAGGAAGAACGATTGCAGTCAGCGAAGATTGTCTCCAAAAAATGGGTCTTGGGGCTCACATATACTCAGCTCACCAGGAAAAGGTGGAAGGAAGCATGTAGACTGTTACCTCCGAGCTCGTAAACGCTGAGCTAGTTACTAATCTCCTCCACCTCTTCCTCACCCTCCCTGATCTGCTCCACCATTCTTCTGCTGCTCCTTTACTCCTTCTGCCAGCAGGCTGCGGCTCACCCCTTCCATCTTCATCCTCCCTCTGTCCCAAGCAGCACCTTTAACCCATGCTCCTCTAAACCGCTCACCCCTGAATCTTCTCTGATATCCCCTGCAAGACCCAGGCTCCTGCTTCACTTTTACTTTCTTGTTTATTCCATTCTCATTTATTCCCTACTTGCCAGAAGACCAGGTCCTCAGCCCCTCCTAACCCTCCCTGTCCTGCCTGTGAGTCTCAGGAGCTTTTGGAAACGTAAAGCTCAGGACAAAGGGCAGTGTCACAGCTGCGCCTGCACCAGAACGTCACTTTTTTGATAGGCATGTGTGCGTATTTTGCACATGGTCATACATTTTAAGGCAGGGAGTTTTTTTCTGTGACACAGGGGCTCTGCACCAGGCACCGCACAGCAACAGCATCACCAATGAAACTGCTTCCATTCCTAGGTAGGTGAAAACTCCTTTCCTGGGGAGCGAGTGGCAGGTGGGAAGGGAGTGGGCTCTGGCAAGGAGAAACGAGCGTGTTGGAGATGATGGAAAGCTGCTGGGCACACGGAACTGAAAGCCCCCGTAGCTTTGATCAATGCTGCTACAGAATTCGGTAATTGCATGGTTAGGATCATCCCAAAACCAAATCCCACAAATGCCAGTCTTTCTTTAACTCATTGTGGGTTTTGTTCTGTAAAACAACAGAAACATTGTGGGTTTCCGTGGGTTTGGCTTTTTTTGGTTTTTTCCCTCTCTCCATCTGCTTGGGAGATTTTTAGATTTCACATGTTATGAACAGTAAAATAACAACAGAACCCACAGGTTTCTGTTTTAATCTCTGGAAGATGGTGTCCTCTCTCAAAAACAGAGGAAAAAGATGAAACTTGGTGATACTTAAATTGATTTGGATTATATATAATTGTTTAAAAATTGTGTGTGATTTTTAATCTTGAATTTTGCATGAAATTTTAATTTGCCCAAGAAAACAACGCCTCCGTGAGATTTCCTGAAGCAATGAAACCTGTAATTGTAACACTAGGGTAGCAAATATCCAAAATAATATTTGAGTAGGGAAAAGCAGAACTGCAGGGGAAGACAGCATCCAAAAGGGTCTTTGTTTGTGTTCTGCAACATTCATTATGTCTTGTTAACAATTTATAAAGTACAAAGTAAAAAACTTACTTTCCCTTCTGAGTTAACTGCCTCATTTCTAACCTGTTACAGGGTGTGTATAATTATTCAGTGAGCTGTTAGTTTTCACAAAGGGAGAGATTCCTTTTTGCTTTGTGTTGAAAACCATATGCATTCATACAACGGGAAAGTAGTCATACCATTTAGGAATCATCCAGTGGATGGAAAAAAGAAGACAATACTTTCATAACATGGAAACAGTATTTTAAGAGATTAACTTTAAATAATTAGGATAAGTTTTTAAACCCTAATGTCATAATGCTGTAAATACTGTGACAAGTGATTTTAATCTCTCAGCCCATGCATATATGTGTGAGCTACACAAGTATGGAAGTGCTTATAAAAATAACAACTCTGATCAGGGGAACTCTCTTTGGTACTCTGGTATTTTTCACCTGATATGTGTAGGGCAGTTTGGATTACACTCAATACATAATTCAGAGTGCAAATAAATGTCTGTGCTTCGCTGGAAAGTACTAGAGTGCTTTGAAAGCCTTTCAAATGTTTTCCCCAGATCACTGAGTAACTTCTACATTGTTTACCAATTTTATACTGGTTGAGCACATACACAAGTTCTTAATTTACAGTGTCTACTGTTTCTAGCCCCTGGGTAGTTTTACCAAAGAAGCGTCTGTAGTTGGTGGTCCTTGCCCCATTATGTGACATAGCTGAGTCTGTGATGATGTTAAGTTTACTGGAATACACCAATTTTGTAGATACTTTTTGCCCAGATTGGGTTTTAGAGCTCAGAATGAAGTTTTTAGGTAAAGAAACGAGTCTGATTTTCCTTTGTTCCAGTTCTGATTTCCAGTCTGCTGGACTATGGCTGCACTTCTGCAAGCTGCAACATGACATGCCACAAAGACGCCAGGTGTGAAGTGCAAGGTGGGACAACAGGCTGCTATTGCTCCCAAGGATATACAGGAAATGGCATAACGTTCTGTTACGGTAAACAGATTTTACCTATATGCATTTCTGTTATGTGCTTGCTTGAAAAACTTACGCAAGAGCCCATTAGCTCAAGGATTAAACTTCGTGTCACAACACCTTACACTAACATGTTCTCAAAGCCAAAAACTTCAGCAGTTTCTGAGAAATTCTACAACTTACTCTCAGCATAGTATTTTAATATAGCATACTGTGCATCTCAGTTGAGTGTGACCTTTTTTCCAGCTTTCCTCTTCAATGAGAGATGCTGATGTATCTTCTCTGATTTAGCTTCAGCAATTTCCCTTGTGACTCAGAACTTCTGAAGTTTGGAGTTGGCATGACTGCTACTTTACAGCCCTCACATCTCATCCACACACACATACCACTAGGCCACTCTTCCCAGCAGCTGATCATGATCAAATAATACAGCTCCTGGGCTACTCTAGAAGACTGAGGAGGTGTCTGTGCCACAGAGACATGCCCGCATGTGAGGCCAATATTAATTTTTTCACTACAGCTGCTTGCAAGGGAAATATGCCAGAACTCCTATGGAGGGGTCTGCTTCTGGATGTCTCTATCTTCCATGCAAAGAAAAGGATATTTTCCCTGCCTTCATTTTTGAAGTTCTCCTCCACTATGAATAGCTCTAGTACTTATTTCCACTGTTAGGTATAGCTATGCCCAGCTGCAGGCAGGCTGAAATTCATATGAATCTTGTCAGTTTTCAGTGTCCTGAGAAGTAGTTATGAATATTAACCATCCGTTCAGTCAGCTTTTATGTTTCATGCATCTTGGGAAATTTAGCAGTAACAGAGGCACTTTGGTTTGGTATGAGCACAGGTAAACGGCCCACCTTTAGTTTGGATTTTTATAGCTCATTTGCCATGGTGTACTTGGAAGTATGCTTGTTTTAGGAAAATTTAGAATGCAAAGACCTTTTTCCTAAGAAAGCTGCTTACCTTTTATAAGCTGGAAATGCTTAGAGAAAAATATAGCTGGCTAAGATAATAAACAATATAGAATCACAAAAATCATAGAATAATTTAGCTTGGAAGAGAACTCTGGAGGTCATCTGGTCCAGCTCTCCACTTGGAGCATGTCCAGCTTAGAAAAGGATGCTCAGGGCCTTGTCCAGCCGAGTTTTGAGTATCTCCAAGGATAAAGATTGCAAACCTCTCTGGGCCCTTGTTCCAGTGTCTGACTACCATAATTTTAAAAGCTTTTTTCTGATATCTAGTTGCAGTTTCTCTTATTGCAGCTTGTAACTTTTGCCTTTCATGGGCACTTACCGCTGTACATTTCTAATAGTTTAGCTTCATCTCCTCCCATGACCCCCCCATTAGATAGCTGTAGACAGCGATATGATTTCCCATTTGCCTTCGCTTCTTAAGCCTGAACAAACACTGTTCTCTCAGCCTCTTCTTTGCATCATGTGTCATGTAGTCACTGAAAATATTTCTTGAATTTAATGCTAACCTTGCCCTAAATATAGGTTAATCATTATTTGTGTATTGAGCTGGTCAAATGAAAATAAGAAGAAATGGCCTTCACCACACTAGTATTGTATTTGCACTAATTCAATTTTACTACCATGAGTAAGCTGGTTGATTTGAAAGTTAAATGCACATTACATTTGCAGAGTCAAGGGCCTACACTTGTGAATAATGTAGAGAAAGAAGAAAAACAAGTCAAATTTTAGTGATACTACCTGGAACAAATCAAACCAGCATTTACTTATCTACCATGATCTGGTATCCACTACATTGTCTGTACCTTTCTAGAAAGTTGTGATTATGAATCACCAATTAAATTTACAGTAAAGATACCTGTTGTTCTTCACTGACATTACTGACGTTCTTAAATCCATCCATTATATATGTACCCATTATGGCGTTATTATATCCACTTGTGTGAGGATGGATTTATCTTACCTTCCATGTTCCTTTTTCTCATACAGTATCTTTTTCTTACTTTCTCTTTTGCCTGTATTTTCTTAGAGAAATCTGCATTCAAAATTCGTAAAAACATTTATTGATCATTTAAAGAAAATTCAGTACAGTGAAATATACATTCACAAATCTTGTGAATCAATTAATTGTTTATTAAGAATTATACTAAGTGTTTGGAAGCTCAATCTTCAAAACAAAATTTCCAATGTCAGTCCAGGCAAACCAGCTACTAGATGTATTTTTGGTGCTTTGCAGTTAAGTGGCAATGGTTTGAAGTAAGCCTCATGTCAGGATACCAATGTTTTCTCTGGTAAAACAACCAAAGTCTCTTACCCTCCAGCTAAGCAGCAAAGCTTGTATCAGAACTATGTGGCTGTTGCCCCTGAAAGAGAGATGATGTTTCTCTAGGGCAGCATGTTACATGGTGCATTATTAATATTGTGCTGTAGTCCTCTAATAGCATAAACAAGTAACCTTAATTTTAATTGGGTAGGCTCTACAAAGGATTAGAAATATAGGCTAAACCTTATCATAAGTAGTTTAAAGCTAAGAAAACGTAAAGCAAAGCCTCAGTTGTTTAATGATGTATTAGATCTTGCTGCTCTGTGTGGCAAAAGTGGCAGGTGTATCTGCTGCTCTAGAGATAGCTACTCATTTTTCTTCAGTTAATAATCTTAGGCTTTTACAATGATAGTCCAGTCACCTTCAAAGGAGATCATCAATTGCGTGCTAATACAGGCATTTTCCAAAGAGTATATATGGTACGTTGTGTTTACATATTTGCCCTTTTAGTTATTTAGATAGGTTGTGAGAGTTGTAATTACTGTCAACAACATTAATAATTTCGCATAGTGTAGAACCAACTTCCTCATTGTACTTATCCTGGTAGACAATTAAACCAGAACAGTGGTTGTTTTGAGGGTTTATTCTCGAACAAGAAATTCAAATTCTTTCTCCTTGTAAAAATATTGAACAACAAAAAATGCTAGTTTTCAGGTTAGTCCTCTTAAGCTTGTATAGCTGGAAAACTGTCCCTTTTTATTTATAGGTACATTCTCACTGTATTTAAAAGGTTTACATTTGTTTCTCGACTTTCATTTGCTTCTAACACCTCTTAAATACTTGTAAAAGTTATTTCTTTGCTAGCTCTGTCTTTTCAATGTGGTACACTTTTCCCTTGAGTTTACTGTGCTGCAAAAGGCAATAATGCCCTGTTACATTTATTTCCTAGCACCATTATTGATGAATCATGAATCACTGATGTCAGCATACCTTAGGACTGGGGTTTGTTAGTTTTTACTTTGCTCCCTTTGCCAGCTGGCTAAGTGACTGCAGAGAGCTCAAGATTATTGGATTTGCTGTGTATAGATAAAGACATACAGATATGAATTTAATTTCCTGGTGTCAAAGTCATGGCTTTTAAAATAATTATCCTCTTACAATCTTTCCCACAAGATTTCAACCACTTTAAATTAGGTCATGTTTTGGACTTTCCGAAGGCATACTTTGGCCAGTCTAACAAAAAGCTAATCCTCTTCGTAATCTCATTGTCTTCAGTAAGAATTTGTGCAGGAATG